GTCCACTCATTGTGCGGTGAGCGAATGTAAGATGTCTGCTTCGCTACCTGTGTGAGCAGTACTAGGTGTACGCGTGAGGACGTTCTGTACATGTGAGTCATCATTTTTTGCATGTAAAAATTGCTTGACGCTGGAATACACCTTCGAAGAATTCTGACTATCCGTGCTACGCAGTGAAGGTATCATTAAAAAAGTAATGTGTCAAAAAAGGGTTCATTACGGCATAAACATGACTAGTCTGGTTAGGAATTCCAAAATCCATTTTTTAAAGTTCCAGAATGCATAGTTTTCCCCGTTTCGCATGATGTGTCGCAGCGTAACGAGTGTTCTTGTAGTATAGTAAAAAATAGAAATGTTTTGTACTATGAGATCATTCCGTCCCTCGTAATTTTTTTTAAGAAATCAGAAGTAGACTTCTTTAGAAAGATGATGAAATATTCTTGAGTTATAATCTTGGAAGAACGTTTTATGATTTATTTTAATTTCTAGTTTCATAACGTAGGAAGTAATACGCCTAATTGCATATTTAATATGCGGGTGTCCTAGGACACGACAGTGCAAAACTTTGTGACAAAAATTCGTGGTACCAGTTACGGGTTAAATAATCGTGTACAATTTTTTGAAAATATGAGGAGAGTTTCCGTGTAATTTTGAGTGATCTATTACAAATAATGCCGAAAAGTATGTGCTGTTGTAGCTCCTCTCATTAAATTGTTTATGTATACGAATACAATTCACAGCGCTGCACCAGCTTCGTATAATGATGAGTGTGCAAACTTCGTAACAGGCCTTGAGAAGTTGTGGAACCGTAAGCAACTTGACTTCGTGCAACTCGAGAAAACTGGGCTCCGGAATGTGTATCATCAAATATAGCGCAGTATTTTTGCGAATGTAGTACATATCAACTGTTCTGCACTATTTATTCTGTGCAGTTCAGTGACGAACATTGAACTAAATTTCCCAAATAAATTAATAATTTCATAAAGAGAAGTCAGAGTGAAGCAAAAATTGCGCATTCCATTCAGAGTGAAATGAAAATAAATTTCCCGCGGTGTTATTCAAAATTCCTTCAATTTTTTAATGTGTTGGGAAATAGAAATATTCATCAATAAGCTAGAATTGTTTCGCATTTTTCTCTGGTATTGGGTCAGTAATCGAGTTAATACCAATCACTTTTTTGTATTGAAAATGAAACATCTTAAATAATTGCGGGTGCAGGTAGTCACAAAAGAGTTGAATTTATATCGCCAAACATAAAAAATGTTCTATGTACAAGAGACTTCATTTTATTATAGTAAACCTCTAGAAACCAACCTTTTTTGATGCACTTTCAACTGTTATGCCAAAATAAAATAGTTTCTCTACGATGATTGTTATTTCAGTGGTTCATTAATATATCCAAACACCACAAATACAAAATTTCAACATTTATTATAGCCTCAAAATACTTTTATTGCGGTTTGGTGTGCATATTTTTTTAATTAATAGTACTTTCTACAACTTTTTCTCAAGAATCCGTGACTTATTCACACTTGATTCCACATTCCACCCTTGCCGAGTTCGCTATAATCAGATCGCCTGGTGTTTATTTGTAATGTAAGAAGATCGGAAGCAATAACTTCGGTTCACTGTAACTGAAAGTGCACTATATCCAGTGCAGACTGTACTGCCCTGCCTTTTTTTATTGCCGACACGAGTCTGACTAGTGTCAAAATGAGGTATTGAAGCGTTTGGTCGTCAGGAAAAAATGGTGCTCCTTAGCTTAGCGTACGATTGTTCGCTCATTACCAGTGCCTTTGTGTGAACCGTGGGACTTCCCGGAAGCGTTCCGCTTGCTGCGACGCGCGCGTGTCACGGGCGATGTGCTCCTCGCGCTCTGCGTGTTTAGTCTCTTTGCCTTCGCGTGAATCCTTCAGTCTAACAGTTGACAGACGTTTGCAGACTTGCGGTAGTTACAACAAGTTCAACGTAATCTAAACATTGGAGAGGACACTTTAGGACGGAACCTCGGGGTTAAGCCTCTTGGTTTGCTAGTATTTGTAGAAAGGATTCAAATAGGAATGCATTGTTTTGATTCTTGGTCAGGCTGGAGTTTAGCCTAGGTTGCATTGAGATGCTGTCGGTAATTTGGTAAATTTTGATAGATAATGTGAGATATGTTTGCTATTATGGATTATTATTGAATCGATATTTAATTATGTTTTGAGTTGTTTGATGCTTGGAAAGCTGTGGGCGTTTTGTGAGTAGCCCGACTAGTGATGGTCCGTGTATTCATCGTCATTTCAGGTGACGCGAGTAGTATGCGAGCGAACTGTTATATTGGAGCCCCGAAAGTTTTTTATTGGTTATTTTCCGTTATCAAAGATTGCAATTTCAATGATTCATTTGAAGACGCAAAGTAACATTGGTATCGTATTTGTGTAGAATATCTTCTATAGATACTCATACCATATTCTACACCCCAACATAGAGTTCCAGATATCGATAGCTGTGCCGTGTATGACATTCAGAAGAAATATAGTTTGGACAAAATTTCTTAATCTTTAGTATTACATGATGTGCATGCATATATGTAAGTTCCCAGACGAATGAAAAGGGAAGAATAAAACACAATCCGAGAAAAATCAGAATACTGCGTGGTGTGGTGTGGTGTGCTATCTACACATTTACGTGCTTGTTGTAATGTGAAGTGATAACTGATATTTTAAACTTTTAACACATTTAAAATATGTTCACGGTCTTTTCTCACGTAGTGTTCTCTGCTAAACATGTTTTCCTCTCGACCTTCCGCTGTAGGATCAAAGATGCTGTCGGTGAACGTCCTTAGTTCTTTATCTCGCTGGAGATAACTGCTGTGAAAACAGACTGGAATTATTGGACTATATTTTTAAAAGCTTCTTTGTTCGTAGAACTTGAGACAGTGGCTCACCTTTGGAGCTTCTGAACAAAGTTTACGAAGAAAATTTTCTTTCAAAAGTCTACAATGAAGTGTGTATTGAATAACAACAGAAGTATTCAAGTGATTAGGCAAGTGTATTGACGCACGAAGTAGGAAAGATAAATCGGGAATTTAAATTTGCTTGCATTAAAACATTGCATCCTGTCTGCCGCAGACGTACGGAAGTAGGATATTGCATGTTAGAAAACTCGATCTGAAATAGTGTACCAATTGAATGTTAACATTTTGGATAATCTTCATTTTACAGATAGTTATTTGGTTGATTATATACTAGTAAGAAAATTTGCAGATTTTGAACCGTTTATAACAAATCGACACGACATTTGAGTAAAATCGAGACATTTAAAATAAGACTTCGGCAAGATTTTCTCGAAAGGGTTCAAATATTTAATTTTTATATTTTTTTATTTTTATTGCTCAAAAAGAGCAGTGTTCGCCTAAAAATGTCAGAAGTCTTATTTTCTTTAAAACATCGGAATTTTGAAAATTGAAAACATTGATTTTGGTCAAACTATTATTTGTTCACTTTTGATATTGAAGCTAGAGATTTATTTGTTATTAGTCCCCAATATTAGATCTTCAACTCATTTCAAGTAATTTAAAAGTAGTTATTTGTGCACCAAGGACGTTTTGTGGATTCTAATATTAGAGCTGCGACAAAAAGCCCGAGGGCCTTTTGTTCGAGGGCTTTTTGTGGTAGAGGTGATTAGATCTAGTTAACGCCGGTTGCATTTACAGTACTTTGCAATGTTAATTATTCAGATTTACGTGTTGACGATTAACTAGTTAACTTGACTCGGTTTGTAAAACAAGTGGAATTGTGGCAAAGCGATATTCTTGTGTCAGTGTTGGCGTAGGTTTGCAACCGCGCCAGATCATTTTCGGCAGGGTTTTTTTTTTTTAGAAATGAAGTGTTACTGAAAGATATAATACTTTCGAGAATTCTTAAAATAGAGAAAATTTCGAAGAACGTCACGTCTATTTTCAATTTTATGTGCTCGAAGTGGGCGTGAAAACTGTACCTTAACGCGATGTCTTCGTGTTGTGTTTCTGGGAACATGCGGAGGTGTGGAAACCCTTTTGACCCTTGCTTAAGAGGATTATTTTCGATAAATATTTTTTCTGATTCTTTAAATGGGACGGTGCGAGTGAGAATACAGATAGCATTGCATAGTTTGAGAGTGGAACAGGTGTTCCTCGCAGTTCATGGGATTCGCCAGTTTTTTGGGAAAACGGCAAGTCCGCACGAGTTCACGTGGTTGACATGTTATTATGCAACGTTTGAATCTTTTGAATATATAGTATATAATAATAAGTAGTACTTGTGAACTGCACAATATAGATACTGAACTGTAAAAATAATTTTCCCTTTAAACCTTGCTCAATAACATGCGTGAAGCAGTAGAACACTGAAGAGGTGTTTACTTTAGATTAGACTCGCGATTAATACATATCTTATCGATTCAGACCTGTCGCTACACTTCTTTTAATAATTGCTTTTCGTTTAGGTTAAATGGTTGGAATTTATGCTAGTCTGTTTTGTTTCTCAAATAGGGTGTTGAAAAAGGATTTCAGTTCTGCTTCGTGATAAAATAGAATTTTATTAAAATATTAATTTTCTCCGAAGTTACCATGCCCTTCAACTACAACTCGCACGGTCGCATTGCAGTATCTTACTAAACCGGCCACGGACCATGCGCATTCTTCGTTTCCTATATTTGCCCCTCACAAACACGCGCGTGCGCACCTGTACGTACACACATAATCGTACTTTGAGTTACGTGCACTACACTACCACTCCCTTGGGCAGCTTAGAGAGAGTGAGAAGCTTACAGCTCGTCTCGGCTGGGATAGTACCCCGTTGGGGGAGTTTCGGGGAGGAGGGAAAACCTGCTAGTCTACGTTTTGGTCTGTGCCGGTTCTCATGGTCCAGCGTGGGAGTAACACCCCCTGGCTATAATACCAATTGCATCCAAACGACCCCTGACGAAACTCCTCGCCCATCCCACCCCGCTAACGAGTTGTGTTGCGTGTGTTGCAGTACGGCCGGCAACACATAGAGATCGCGAAGAAGGACCAGCGGCGCGAGATGGTGACGGGCAGCTCGTGCGAGGGCGACGGCGACGCGGACGCCGACGCCACGGAGGACGAGGGGGCGGCGTCGGCGTCGACGGCGGCGTCGGTGGAGCGTGCGGCGGGGGTGGCGCCGGCGGGGGCGGGGGCCGGGGCCGGTGCGGACGCTGGCGCGGGCGACGCGGCGCACGCACCCGTCAGCCGCCGCCCCTCGCCCGGAGGCGGCGCCAAGGCCCCCGCGTGCAACGGCAGCGCGGGCGCGCTCCTGCCCAACGGCGCGCTGCCCAACAGCCTGGGCGTCATCAGCCGCGAGGACCTCATCCTCTCGCCCGTGCCCAGCCTCAACAGCGCCAACGGCGCCGCCAAGGTAAGGGCATCAGCACACGCCCACCCACACACCCCGTTACAGAAGAGTGACGGGACAGACTGTATTTTATCTGTACGAAAACATGACGCACGCTTCATTTTTCGCTAGAGATGTCTTAAAGTTCTACTTCCGCGCTCTTGGAGTCACTTTTTGGAACTTTCTCTTGTTTGCTAAGCGTGTGGTGCGATTTGCTCCTTTTGTGAACAGTTCCTAGAGCGTTCTAATACGTTAAACTGTAATATGTCATCCGGTCGGGAGCATGAATGACACCTACAGCAATGACGTTTAAGCTCTTGAATGCATGTCACTGTAGCAGCTAATCAAACGTCAACGGAATCTGTAAATAAGTCGAAGTATAATATAATCTAATCACTGGGTTACTATTGAGGCTGTGTTCAACTGTTCGAACTTCAGTTCTTTTTGCTGCGTCCACATGAAATATCATCACGATTGCGCTCAGTCAGTGCAAAAGGCTCGTTTTCTTTCATTCCGTTACAAAACTGAAACGGTTACGTGTAGAATGAGTCTTTTTCCATCCATTTTCGGAAGAGAAACGTGATGAAAAAATCACCGTGTAAAACGGACTTTAGTACATTTGTACTTTATAAAAGACTAAGGGCCTGTCCAGTTTCATGACCTTCCTGATTATTTGTTTAATGTCCTTTACCTTGGAGTTAGGTTGCGTTAAAGTTGCTCATCACGTGCATTACACGCGATTAATGTAAGTTACTCGCGTATAGTTACAAATAGTCATGCGTTATATACTTCGATTTTTTTAAAGTGGCCGATGACATTAGGTCATTGTTACTCCGCCTACCCTATTAAATGAATCTTTTTAATTAATTCGAAAATGTCCTTCTCAACGGGGCTCATGTCCTCAGAAATGTACTTGTACTTAACACTGTTAAAAATATTCATTTTATGAGGCAGGAAATGTAACATCATCGGCCACTTTAAAAAAAATCAAAGTACAGTAAAACGTCTCAGATAGATGTCGTAAGCGGAGGTAACCGCCGTTATCTGCCGTCCTTCTTTGTCTCGATATTTTGTGGTCTCGCTTTTAAGCTACGCGCGCACTGGATCGGTACGGTACGGTACGGACGGGCGGCAGATTTCCTGTGGATCGCGCGCACTAGGATGGGACGGCACGGACACTTCGGACACTTCGCGTCGTGTCTTCTATTGTGCGAGACGGCTTCATAATTCAAGTAAAGAAGCAATCACATTGAATTCGTTTTTAATTACAGAAATAGGAAATTATGCAAGGAGTCTTAAAGTCCAAATTCTCTTCTAAACTGAACGATTATTTCACGTATTATACCCCGACCTGGTGAAAAAAAACGAAAAATAATTACAGTTCTTTAGGATGCCTCACGTTAAATTTGAAGCTAAATTTGATATTTAAAACATATACGATATAAATAAATATTGGTATTGGTTGGTAACACAATTAAATTGAACTAAGGTACGGACTCATAATTGCACTACTTTATTTAGAAATGTGTGGAAATAATTGGCAGTATAATTTACGCAAGATACACCCAAAACATTACATTGATTAATGATCTTATCATTCCAAAACATGGCCTAATTTATTCACCGTGCACAAATGAACCAAGTTTCACCAGTACTGCACAGCTTCTTATAAATACCTAGAAATTTTAATTTGGCAGATGTTTTTCCGATTCAGGTAGTTTAACCAATTGAATTACATCTCCCAACAGTTGTAACATTAAATAAAACTTAATATCACGCTGTACAACTTGGGGTAATTCGGGATCAACATAATGAAGTTCATGATCGTCCACACGCTTCATATAACCTCAGAACTGAAACAGTGCAAAGGCCGTTCCGACCGTGCCGATGTCGTCATCAGCAAGTCGGAGTGTCCAGAAGATCTTTCCTTGGGACTTTTTGCAATCGACCCGACCCGACCCGACCCGACCCG